GTTCGTTGTTCAGCTGTTTGGATGTGTCTTTCTGGAAAGCGAGGCAATATTTCTATAGTCCAAATGACAGGGCATAGGCGAAGTGGTGGTTGTTGACAAAGAATGTCGCACTGTGGGGCCTCTGTGGGGCCAAATGATATCTGAGGTGCGGAGTTTGAAATGACTTGGTGAAAATTACCGCAATCACGATCGCACCTCTGCGCCCACCGCGTTTACTTGCTCTGCACTGCCCTCGAAAACGTTGGGTCAGATTTTATTTTAAAGATTTCCAAACTTACAGGCATCTTTAAATTTGCATAGAGGATGCAGGAATAGGTTGTGTGATGCACTGTCATTGTCAACGACAATGACTGGAGTAGTGACTGGAGATGGTTATTAGTATAGTAGCCATAGTATGCACTTCTGCTGCGAGGATTGCATTTTCGGAAGCAGGCCCATCCTGTAAGCTTAGATTGTCAAATCTCGGACCTCTGTGAAAATTGCACTACATTCGATCTACTTGCCACTTCCCACTTACAGCCAACTTGGGGCTTGATACTGGTATATCACATTAAAAATATTACTTTATAAGGCAGAAAGTTAGTTTAAGAAACCAAGTGAAGTTTCAAGCCGAGTCAAGTGACGGAAGTGATCGAAGTGAAGTGTAGTTTTGCTGATGTTGCGTTTTGAATGTGTGTGATCTTTTTATGAGAGCTACCGTCCCGACTCCAGCCGGTCATTTTGCAGTCATATCGGCGTGATACATGCTAATGAAAATCTTAAGAGATACGAGAAATATGAAAATCAGAGCAAAAAATTATACAGGACATATGATGAGAGAGATTCTGAATTTCGTATGATGTACTCTGACAATCATAAGGTGCTGACATATGATTCTCGTGTGTGGCTTTCGTCTTAAGTTTCTCAATGATTAGCGTGCAGCCGTGTAATCAGCGATATCAATTAAGAACAAAAATAAAGATAGAAAATTTTATTCATACAACTCCTGAGATCCCACTGTTCGCGCTATCATGATCACGTCGTCACAATAGCAAGACGCCCACCTTCTCCGTATGTTGCCTGGATGTCGAGAAGAGAAGAAGGAACTAATGTCCACTGCAGCACCCCCGCATCAGCCGGTTTTTTTAGCGTATCACACGACCAACATTGCCCCGAGTCCAACCAGAGGGAAGGTTTACTTGTGTTGATCTTCGCGGACCCAGAAGTTGACATCTCTATGGCACGTATTCATCAATCAATAATAAGTACTGGTATAAGCCCAGAACTTCAACCGATACTATTATTATTATTATTTTTTTTTTAAAAAAAAACACAATATTTATTGCTATACTTATTGTTCTTTTTTGAATTCGGTCTCTTGATCATTGAATTTCGTGCTGTGTCTCCTCTGCCACAGCCTGCATCATTTGTTTGGCGGGATCTTCCCGGCACACGCTAAACGTCAAGCAGTGGCGCCGGTTTTCCCTTATATATCTAAGCTATAGGGTATCCTTATCCCTAATGGCTAAGAAAACTTGTATACAAAAAATAAAATCCTTGGCAAATGTGCTGAGGCTGCACGGAGGAAATAATGAAGAGAAAGCTGCGAAATAGAAATATCGAGGCCGTCGAAAATTGCCCCAGGACTCACCAAAACCAGAAGGGGGCGGAATTCGCAAGTCTCCAGGCCAGTCCTGTAGGATTGTGATTTACGGGGAGCTTTCTTGTACAAGATTCTTCTGCTTCCATCATTGCACACCTGTTGAATTATAAGAAGTCTAGGCGAAACCAACGATGGACGCACCCGGAATTGAACCGAGGATCACCCGCATGATGTATTTTGAGCACGCAAATACTCTTGTGCTAAGCGGGCGTGATAACCAACTACACCATGTGCCCTCAATGACGACACCTTGAAGGGACTCGCTTCACCTTGTGGTCTAAGCGCCCACAAGCTCTCAGTCGCCACAAGGATCAGTTGATTGCTTGCTCATGAGTAGTAGAGATGAGATCTGACGTCCAAGTCTCCCGAAGCCTCGGCTCTACTCTACGCGAGAAAGATCGGACAGACACCCGAAATGCCGCTGTTCTTCAATCCTACCATCAGCAAAACGCCACACTTGTCGAATCTCGCGGGAACTTCCACTAAGGCTGCTGTTGCAAAAAGAAAGGGGGGAAGGTGTCTCTTGTCGCTCTGAGCCTGACCTTGTTTGGGTCGCAATCCCACATGGTACACTTTACAGAATAACAAGTTTCGTTTGATGAAGTTGTCAATCGCTACACGAAGTTCTAAGGGTTGTGGAAGGACAAACGCCTTCGATGGCTTTTGGATTGAAGCCCGGGTTATTTATTCCCCCGGTGCACTCGATCTTACGGTACTTGGTGGTCCAATAATGCTCATCAGCATGCCAGAAGCATTGATTTCTCCTATCTTGCGCCACCCAGTAGAGCTGCAATTGCGATGGCTTGGGTCTTGACACAGGTCAGGCAATTAAATTACGATAGTTGGCGCCTCTTGGTCTCGGCCTTGCATTGCACTGATGTAAAGGGACAATTGAATACGAACGATTTGAGGTTTGAGCCGGGGGATGATATGATCAAGGACGAGACCGAGGATAAGCACAAGCACATCCCCCGCGCAATCCCGACGTCGGAATGGTCCAGCTTTGCGGATCAACTTGGGCAGTGTATGAATTGGATTCCTTATTCAATTTTGTATTCCAGATTATGCGGTGCAGGAAGCATGGTCAAGTAGCGCTTAAATATTCGAACATGTGATCACTAAGTAGACAGGCTTCCGAAGGGGCAATGCGGCCTAGACCCGAACTGTAAACGTGCGAACGCAGCCTTCAAGCTTTAGGCCTTTAGGACTCGAAGAAGCCATATCCACACCGAGCAGCCTATATGTATATGCCTGTAAGGACGTCGAATCAAAATCGCCTAGCCAGAGTACGCACCCAGCGTCTCCACTCCGCACGCTCTTGATTGGTTTTTGGATCAAACACACATGCGAGCCTCAATTTTCCGCGACGGTCCAATGAAGACATATCCTCTCGTACCCGGGCCTCGAGTGTTTTTTGGAGTACGCTTTCATCGATCCCCTTGATAGCATCACAAACCAACTGCAAACGGACTGGCTGAATACAGTCGGCGTGTTTCCGGGAAATCGCGACGTCCAATTCGCGCCATTCGGCGCATGCAACGGCTTTTGTGCTGCTCGGGCGAACAACAAGGTCCACGCTTTGCAATTCACTGGAGGAGAGTGTCGACAGAATCGAAGTTAGAGCTGCTACTGGCCCTTGCGTCCGATCGACATGCGTCGCGTCATCCAGGTCAAGCGACAAACACCGAAGGTTTTCAAGAGTCCTCAGGTCGATACAGCCCGATGGCGCTCCTGATCGCGATATTCTAGTCAGGTCATCGGCCAAGGAAGCGACAAGTACCTGGTACTCCCGCGTTCTCTGATGTCCCGCCCTCCCAGAATGCGATTTTCAATTGTTGAAGTTGAGGTCCTATGACGCTGAGCGCCGAGTTGAGATGGGCGACATCATCCCGTCTGAGCCCATTTATACTGAGCGCGCGGATGCATGGAGCTTCATGGATGGAATGGGTAGCAAGGCAGGCGAGGACGGAGGGGACTGCGTCACCAGGGCCGAGCTCGATCGAAGTGAGGTGCGTGGGCAGGCGCAGACGCGCGGCCGCAGCGACCGCCTGATCCGCGTACTTTGTGAATAGAATGTGGCTGAATGTGGTATGTCGAACGGATGGGAGCGAAGCAAGCATACGCGCCGCTTCGCGGAGATCGTGGAACTCGATTCTGTGGAACTCGAGCCGGGTGAGAGTGGTCATACGCGACAGGGACCGTTTGATGGCGGTCTGCTCTTGAAAATGTAACGCCGTCCAGTCGATGTTCTGCAGTCGGACGGACGTAATGCGGGAGAAACGAGAATGTTGGATGATCGATATGGATTCGATGATCGCTGAGACCGTTGGGGCGCTCGCGTTGGATGGCTTCGAGGAGCCATCGATCTCGATGTGGGACACGTATCGCGTCAGAGTGCAACTTGGTGAGCGGAGGAGGTTCTTAAAAAGCGGCAGACGGCATGGACCGAGGTGAACTGTGGAGAAGAGGTGGTAGCGGCAGCGACGGAGCCATTGCGAAGAGACCAGCGAACATGCACTGAGTGCCTTTGGGTTTAAGGAACCAAGGTAGTCGATGATGTGGTCCACGATCTCAGCTGGTAACTTCATTCCTGTGGATGGGTGATGGTGGTTGCGGTTATGGTTATGGTCCAAGTAAGAAACTTTCCCGAGGATGGGGCCCCATGGTGGAGTCAATGCCAAGAGAATATGGGGTTATGAGCACGAGGACTGGAGCGAACACGAGCCTCACGCTGTCTGACAGCAAGTCACTTGAAGGGAGGGCCGTTCGTGGTCGAGAACGGGCAGTTTACAAGAAAGGCGCCATGAAAGCACCGGACGGACCAACGATTGATCCCTCTTGGATTCTGAGTTAATTATGGCACACAGTGCACACTAGCCTCGCAAGAAAGCGAATTGAGTTCACCGAGGTCCACCGTGCGTCGCCGACCCTGGTAATGGAGCAATTTAAAAACCTGTATTTGGGGGCTTCAACGTGCGCAGTGGGGACACCTGAGCATCAACAGTGAAGCCTCTGAAGCGTTGAAAGTCAGATACTTGCCTACAGCAGCCAGTGCAAGTTAATCTGATTTAAGCTGATTTGTTCAACCCATGAGCGCTCATTCCAGCGCCACGACGTCCCTGAGTTTAACTTTATGAATTCAACATACATAAACCAGTGTTGGGGCAAGTCGGTGTTTGCCTTGATTGCCACGAAGTGTGGCAAGCCATGCTACATATGGCACGTGGATTATGGCCCAGAGGGGCTGATCGCCCAAATGATCCATCAATGTCCGGTGTACGCTGTGTCGGTGCAACTATACTGGTCTTTTTAGGTC